AAAGAAAGAAAGAAAGAAAGAAAGAAAGAAAGAAAGAAAGAAAGAAAGAAAGAAAGAAAAAGAAAAGTACTTTTAGGGCTGGGAGTGGTGGCACCACACCTTCGCATAGTTATAACACAACAGGAAGTGAGACTGGGAGAGAGAAAGTGAAGGAAGAGTGGAACAATTCAAAAACACATTATCTAAACAGAACCAGCTATCGAGATACCTAAATATTGAGTTAACGGCTCATGATCGGATTACCTTATTTCTTGTTTGATGGTTTTGTCATCGAATTAAAATAAAAGGCTAAGAAGCTTTAAACACGAATTGGTAAGGAAGGTCTTCAGGAATATATTAAAAGAGCTCTAGGGACACAGCTCACATAAACTACTCATGGGGACACACACCTGTAAACACTTAGGAGGTAAAGGCAAGAAGATCTGAAGTTCAAGGTTATTCTTAGCTACAGTAATGATTTGCATGTGGAATATATGTGATTCTGTTTGAAATAAAAATGTAGTAAGTAAAAAGAGCCAGAAAGACAAAACAAATGAAAAAAAAAAAAAAGGAACAAAAGAAAAGTCACAAGAAACAGTTTGTTTTGTCCTATTCAGGTTTATTTTTATTTTATTCTATTATTTTCCCCCTTTTAGATGCTTGTTTGCTTTCTAATGAGAGAGAGCAAAAAAGGATATGGATTTAGGTAGGTATGGAGGTGGGAAAGATATGGGAATAGTTAAAAGAGAAGCAACCATAACTAGAATTCATTGTATGAAGAAAATCCATTTTCAATAAAAAAGAAAAGAAAGAGATAAGGGATATGTTAGAATAATGAACTCATGACTAAACATTATTATTTCTAATTTCATTTATTTTAAATTTAAATACAAGAATGAATATAAAAATATAACAGACTCCAGTACTTTGTCATAGAGAAGAAATGAGTCATAATTTTCACTTATTTGTAAGTTCATTATAGCTGTTGTTCTACTTATTTCACGCTGTTTTTGAGCTTTATTATTATTTTTCAATATAAGTTTCAATTTATTACAGTTTATTCACTTTGCATCCTAGCTGTAGCCCCCTTCCTTGTCCCCTCCCAATCTCCTTCCTCCCTCATCTCCTTCCAAGCCCCTTCCCCAGTCCACTGATAGGAGAGGACCTCCTTCCCTTCCATCTGACCCTAGCCTATCAGGTCATATCAGGACTGGCTGCATTGTCTTCCTCTGTGCCCTGGTAAGTCTACCCCCTCCTCAGGAGGAGGTGATCAAAGAGCCAGCTACTGAGTTCATGTCAGAGACAACCCTTGTTCCCCTTACTAGGGAGCCCACTTGGAGACTGAGCTGCCATGGGCTACCTCTGTGCAAGGGTTCTAGGTTATCTCCATAGTGGTCCTTGGTTGGAGTATCAGTCTTACAAAAGACCCCTAGGCCCTGACTATTTGGTTCTGTTGTTCTCCTTGTGGAGCTCCAGACCCTTCCTGGTCTTTCTATCTCCCCCTTCTTTCATAAGATTCCCGCAACTCTGCCCTAAATTTGGCTAAGAGTCTCAGCATCTGCTTTCATATCCTGTTGGGTAGAGTCTTTCAGAGGCCCTCTGTGGTAAATTCCTGTCTTGTCCTTATTTTCACCTTCTTCCAATGTCTAGCCTGTTTGCCTTTCTGAATGAGGACTGATCATCTTACCCAGGGTCCTCCTTTTTGCCTAGCTTCTTTAGGTGTACAGATTTTAGTATGATTATCCTATAGTTCATGCTGTTTTATGTGGCTTATTGTAGTTAAAAATGGATCAGAAAGGGATTACTTATTGTGTAAGGCAACGAAACACGCAGCTTTGGTGAGTCACAAGTGAATCTTTCCTTGTGCCCTAAAATCTTGAATGCTCTGCTGATCTGAGGCACCAAACCCATTCCAAAAACGCATGCCCCGTACAGGAAAGGCCTGACTTCAGCTGCTAGCTTCCTGCCCAGGGGCTTTTCACAATTTATTTCTCCCGCTAACTGCATAACCTAGGGTAGTGGTTCTTCAGCTTGAGTGAACACTGGAATCTCCAGGGCCAGTGGCTATAAATACA